CTTAACAGACCCTGTGGTGGTAAGTAAGGTTTTGAGTTCTCTGATGCTTTGCTTTGTTTTTACTAAGTTAGTGTTCTCTGTTAAAAGGCACAGCTTTACTAATACTTTTCAAGGCTATTCATTTTAATTTGTTAATGATCCTCATTTATTTTAAAATATCCTGGTACAGTTACTACATGAATATCTCTGGAAGACAATAGACAATACCCTCAGGACCAAAGATTATTTCATTAGCATAAAATTGTTTGGTTCTAATCCTCTAAGTATTTGTCTATGTGCTTAACTTTATTTAGCATTCCCAAGAAATTCTTGTATCTGATGCTGTCTCTTAGTGTCTGCAGAGCAACTGCCACACTGTTTTCAGTGAGATGTTCCCTTCAAAAGAAAGCTGTTGAACTATGGTTCTGGTTGGAAACAGAGCTGAAGTTTCAGCAAAAGTGGGAGCTGAGTGTGAGGCTAAAATACACTTGTAATTACTGAAACTGTGCATTCATACCACTGCTCATGAATACCACATAATCTTCCCATAATACTAAGGGCTATATTTCAATGCTTAAAAAAACAAATTTAAATTTCTTCTCTAATGCAGTTTCCTGTGGCCATGGTGTAAAAACATGAACAGATTCAGGCAGTGTCTGTCAAGTTCGTTAAAGTGAAGTCTTTATCCTGGTTTTCAGAATTGGATCACGTAGAGGGAAACCATAATCGGACATGCTCTTTGTAAAGCATCTCCACCAAAGACACTAATCTACCTGTTTTGCTAAAAACCCCATAATTTTTTGAATACAAAACAGCGGAGAATTTAGATGTAGCCAAGAGCCTCAAAATTAAGACTGATCTCTAAACCTTCCAAAGTTTTAAGGCAGTCTAGCTTTTAGATCCCAATAGGCTCTCCACATTTTAGGGTTAATCGCCTTTTCAATACTGTAGAAGAGACTTAGACTTCAGAAGATGTGTTTAAAAACTTCAAGTTTCACATTTAGTAACTATCAGCTTAAGTTTGTTTTGGCATCATACTGCTAAAAAGCAGTTAACAACAAAGGAAAAGAAAACAATTTTCTTATCTTTTCAATACAAAACCTTCCATGACTGAAAGGGTAAACAATACTTTTGGATATTTGCAGGAGAAAACATAAAAAGGATCAAGTTCCTGTGCTTTTGACTGGGTTAGTTTCTCCCCCCCTCCTCTGTTTTTAAACATGTCCTTGCACACTGATATTCTTCAAATCTAATTTCGGTAGTTCTGACCATCAGGTTCAATTGATGTTTTCATACTCCTGCTCTGATCATTCCCTCCATGATTTAGGGGGTCAGACTAGAATTCAAATTCACAAATTAGATGCTGTATTGTCAATCTAACAATTTAGAACAGAGCAGTTCCAAAATCCAAAATGCAGCACTGAGCAAGAGGCTTCATTGATCACAAGGAATTGTTAAGAGCAAGTTCTGTGTAGCAGTGGGAGTAGCTTCTCTTTTTCCCTTTCTCTGCCTCACCTTCCCCCAAATTTACAAGCAGCTGCTGTACATTCTAAGCAAAGGGATTTTTTTTGTTTGTGGCTTACTTTGAAGTTTAGTAAGATATGCTTTTGTTGAAATTGGGGAAATATGATATTTGATAGAGCAATTTATAATCTATTCAAATATGAATCAAGTACTAAATATTTCGCCTTGAGCAAGGCATAAAGCATTTTAGAATCCCATGCTGCTGTTGAAAGTTTTGCCTTTCTCTAAAGAGCCTCAGTGGTGAGTCATTTATAGTATGGCTTATTGGTTCAAATTCAAATGATATTTAGATACAAATGAAGCGCTAGGGGAAAATGGCATACCTGCATACAGTGACCCATCAATGTCTTAAGAGTTGCATCAGTGACACCAGAGGAGGCTTAAAGCTCAAAGAGCAATTAATAATAAACATCTGTTTGAGGGAGACTTAGCACTTAGCATTCACATGAAACAATTTCATACTAAGAAATTGCTCAAATTGTATCACATGACTCACTCCTGATGACATGATATTTCTTAATTTTTCAAAAAAGCCAGACTGCCTTTCTTTTTTCCTTTTATGTCCTTAGTGTGTAAAAAGAGAATTGCAAGGTGCAGATACTGACTTGAGGGGAGGGCACTGTATTTTCTCCAATTCCTTCACTTGGGTTGAGCAGAGGATGTGGCTAGTCAGAAATGTACTGAAGCTATTTGCCTGGAGCAGGAAATCCCTATATCTCAGACATGCTGTTAAGAACAGCAATGAGGCTGCTCTTCCTCTGGCCCTGTTCAGAAAAATGTGAGTTTCTAATGTCATTTGGATCAGCCGCTCTGTGCTGACTGACCATATGGCAAGAGAGGAAAGACTGAGGAGACACTATTTTTAACCCATCCACTGTTGTTGATTTCCTTAATCAGAGAATGATATGATTAGCTGTATATAGAACAAGTAATTTATGTGATTGTTCTTGCCTGTGGAAAAGTTATAAACTGCAGACATTAGTGTATTTTTTCCATTTGTTAATATTACAGTTTCAATAGGATCCATTATACTACACTATGGTATCTGCTTTCTGAAGACAGTGGACTGATTGTTTGGAACAAGTGCCCGGCAGCAGCACCTATCAATCTAAAAATTTATGTTCCTTGTCCATCAAAATAAGATAAAATTGCACAGAAAATGAACTATAAAAGAAAGATTGTATTTCTGTTCTGCATGTTGAAGGAGTGGCATAGAGAATTCTCTTTTGAAGGCAGAAGGCATGGCAGTAAAAATGACATTTGGTAGCTGCATATTAGTATTTCCAAACTAGCAAGAGAAAAATCTTACTTTTTAGCTTTCTCAAGAACCAACTGTCCAACTGTTTTTATCTATGAAAACATCTATGTCTGACTTACAAGTAACACAAAGGAACCCAGCAAAAAGCTGTCCTGGATGCTTGTGGGTTGGTGAATTTCAGGATTAAGATTGGATTATGATTTTGAGCCCCATCTAAGTTGCTTCTTCCCATCAGTCCTTGTATTGTCCTTTTCTAGCACTTTGAATATTTTCTGGAAATGGGGTTTCTTGTAACCTAACTGGGCAGTTGATTGTTTCTATTCTACTGATCTGCTTCAGCCCCTAAGGTGCTCTGTTTCTTGATTGCCAGGAGCATTGTAACCAGAATAACACTGTAACTGCAAAGCATGGCTGTGAGGCATGCAGAATGCAAAGTATGATACTCATAATGCTTCCCTAAACAACAGCATCCTGATGATCAAACTTTTAACATGAGGAGCTGACTGAATTTGGCAGAAACAGTGGCTGCACAGCAAATAGACACATTTTGGTGATTCTGGCATCAGAAATACATAATTTTGGGACTCACACATGATGAAAGAATAATTTTGCATAGAGTCAATAGATGGATTTTCTTTAAGTCTCCTAGCCTTAAGCTATATTAAATTTAGATACAGTAACTTATCTCTCTAGTAATATATTAGCTCAGAGTCTTGGACTGAATTTCTTCACCTCCTGTTTGAGCCAGGGACATTGTCAGTCGATATCTAGTGAATATTTTGGCATAGTTTAAGAAATAACTGTCATAAGCTACCCACTTCTTTTCACTGCTTTAACTTACTGCAACCATACACACCTTAAGCAATCATTTTTTGTAGTTTATACCATGGACAGAAACACACAAGCTGTGGTTCAGCATTTAATGTACTGATTCTGTGGTGAAGGTGGTAAGTTTCAGCAGAAAGGAGCTATTGGTGCTGAAGTAACTTTTGTTTCCAAAGCTCTTGGTGGGGATCATAAGAACACAAATGCACAGCTGTGTTGGCTCTGAGCACTAGAGATGTTATCTTGTTAAACTGTGGTAATTTGATTATATTCAGTCATGTATCTCAGTCCTTGTGCTATATGAGAACTCAGCTTCATGTCTAAAGACACTTCTACTGAGGTAATGAATTTCAATAGATATTGAAGAGGAGGAAGGTTAGAAGACATCTATTTTATAGTTCACACTTGAGTTGAAAAGTGAAAGAAGGGAAATTAGTGTGGCAGAGGATATTTGTTAGATGATTTCATTATATTAAGGTAAGATTTTTGAATGATAACTAGCATCACAAGTGACACAGGTACAACTTCATGAGACCATGGGTTTGAACTCATAATTATTCACTTGTATACATGTGTATATGTGCATACAAGTGCATAAGCAGTGAGAATATTCTGAAGCCTTTGCTGACAAACCATCACATAGGGATACTCAGCTCTATGAAATCTCACTGTGTTGTCTATTTTAACACATACAGTGCTATCCTCAAACTAAATAAAACTTATGCAGTAATTAAGGCAGATGTATCAGCAAAATTGAGATTGTTTGAATTGGTATCACTTTTATGATTGGTGTCACTTTTATGATTGATTAAGAAGAAAATTTAAATATAAGATGTTTTTTTCATTGAAACTGCTTCAGATTGTGGCTGGTTGCTGCAAGCAAAGGGCATGAAAAGGCAGACTAGCTATAGCGTGGACAAAAGAGCAGCAGGGCAGCCCCTGATAATCACAGAATCAAGAATCCTTTGAGCTGGTTGATCACAAATGCATCTGGATGAGTATAAGCCAGCATGGCTGGACAGACAGTCCAAAGAAATTACTGATGCTGTTTAATGAAAAATCAAGGACAGGATATGTGTTGAGGAATCTAAAATTCTTCTGTCTAGGACTTGTGCTGTGGCTCCTACTGGGATGCTTATAACTTGACTTGACTGTAGGTTATCCATGGACATTCAATATCATGGAAAAGGGTTCTAATAATCATAATCCCTCTGCACATCTGTCTTGATTTCTGCATGCTCAGTTTGCCTGTTAGAAGCTGCTATTCCACACTCAAGTTAACAGATGTTGCCAGCAAAAAGCTTTAAAAACCTTATGAAGAACGTGCATTTGTATGAGGTCTCTGGTCTATTGTTTCAAGGAAATGAAATGAAATGAATAGGAAATTAAATAATCACAACAATTGTTTATTGCTTCAAAAGAACAAAGTGCAGGCTCTTCCATGGAAGAAAAACCAAAGACAAGTGTGGGTTTGCAATTTTATGCTCAGATGTCTGAGGTATGTTTTGTTTCACTTTGTTGTGTTACCATTGTATGAAAGAGGGCATTGCAACATGAAAAACGGAGAACACAAGGAAGCAATTCTTTCCTGCTGTTTCCACTTTGTGTGATTTTTTAACACCTTTGTTGGAGACCAAATGTCTGGTGTGACTCAGGATTCCTCCCGGGCACTTTGGTTAAGCATTTCCAGTTTCCTGCTGCAGTTTGCTGCTTACATACAAGTTAGGATAAAATTTTAAAAAAAAAAAAAAAGGCAACTGCTATCACCTTGTGTTTCACCTGGTGAATCTCAAAGCAGTAGGGTCTCTGTGGTGTTTGTAGGAAGTCTTTCACACAGGTGCTGTACTTTCTCAAATTGTCCCCACTTTCAGCAAACTCCCGCTAGACTTTGCACTGTTATATTTTTTAATAAGATTTGGAGAAAGCAGTAAAAAAAAAAAGTGATTATTTGCCACAGGTCTGTCGTGCAGAGTTGTGCCATTCTGGAGGCCAGCAAGTGTGGCACTGTTCCTTTTGGGCGTGGCAGGTTTGGCCAGGCCAAGCCGGGCTCCCTCACAGGGCCGGGTGCTGCCCGCCCTGCTCTGGGCTCATTGCCCCAGGGCTGAGCTCGGCCTCACCCGAGCCGTGGGTCGGCACTGTCCCAGCACAGCCCTGGCTGGATGCTCTGCAGGAGGATCCATCTCTCCCTGCCTTCGGCCCGCCACGGCTGGCCCTTGGGAGGCAGAGGAGGTGTTTTGCTGTGGGTGCAGCTCGAAGGGCTGGCCTCAGGAGCTGGGATCCTGGCGGAGGCAGTTAGGTGGAGCGGGTTTTCCTGCAATTGTAGGGGAGATTTTCCTGTTGTGTTTCAGTCACAACTGTCTTGCAGTTGCAGACGCAGTCGGTGCTGCCACAGGATTACTGGGGCAGTGCTGGGCTCTGCTGCCTGTCCCAGCTGGGCTGCTGGTGGTTCCTGGAGGGTCAGCGTGCTCCCTGTCTCCGCAGCCATGCTGCCCACAGAAGATGTAGGGCGGGATCCAGCGGTGGGTATGCGGCTGGGTGGCTTTGCGGGACTGGAGCAGATGCATATGTGTATGCTTGCCTAATTTAGGAAGTATTTTATAATGTGTTTAGCAGTCCTAGGGAGGAGTTGAGGTTTGCTCTGTTGCTGTGATGAATTATCTTTTTGGTACTGGAAAGTCTGGAAAAAAATGGAACATTTTTCATCTCGTGTTTTCAAACAAGGACTTATTGTCTTGTTATTTGTCATAAAACCAGTTAGAGAGATAAAGGGGCATTAGCATCTGCATAGTGTTAACAACATCTGGAACATTATAATTCTGTTTTTAAAATAACAGATGAAGGCTGAGATACATGTTTACATGAGAAAAATTTAAAGAATACAATCATTCCCTGATGCCTGCTTCAGTCCTTGAGCAAAGTCTTTCAAATTCCATTTATTTATTTGTAAATGGTGAAGTTACATAACCTAAAGCAATGCCATGTTTCAAGTATGATGGCTGAGAGGTGATGTTTTTTCCAAGGATGTACATTTGGCACCAATATGCTCACACTGATGGTCTGGTCACTACGGTTATTTTGCATGCGAATTCTATATCCACTAAAGCCCACAAAATGCAGCATACATTTAGGAGAATCAGCAGCATGTATAGCTCATAGGTACAGAGTCATCGGGTGATTTTCCCAGTAAAGTATTTCAAGAAAAACAGTTGTCTGAGGATAAGATGACATTCAGTGATGTTTGATAATAGGTATTTATGAAGCTGCTGGAATAAGAAGCTGGAAGCTGAGCAGATGCATACCCGTAACTCTTTCTCAAGTGCTACTCTAGTTATTACAGTAACACTGACCTGCTTGCCAGCTGACAGGAAATGTACAATTTTGTTCTATTTTTTTTTTGAGATAAACTATGACGCTTTTTTGATGAAGAACATCTAAAGGAGTCTAATAATTAAGCTATTGTTTTCTGTTTCCATTCTCCCTTAAAAGCTACTAAGCTATTTTGTGAATGATGTTAAGAACCTTTTATTTGAGAGGCCTGTTGATGGTATTGATACAGTAATTTAGAAGTAGAACTGTCCAAATCCCGAAAAATCCCTGCTCAGTGGTGTCAGCTGGAAAGAGGTTGCTCTGGGATCATTCTCCTGCAATTCAACTCAATTTTCTTTGCTTCCTCTTGGATTTTTAACTAGAGAACAATAGAAATTAAGCATATTTGAAGATATTTATTGGAAGCAAATTTGGCTGAACACGTGATCATTGAGCACATAACAATAAAAAATAGATGTTAGATTCTCTATTTTCTCTTTTTAAAGCTCAAGAGCACTGGAAAGAGTTACTTGTTAGTTGATGTAGTCTTAATTTCTTAGATTCTAAAGTTCCTTTCATACCTGGAATAAAATAAACAGATCTAGAAAGCACAGATCACTTAACACTTAAGAAAAATTCATGTAGTCCAAATCAGATGGCTTTAGAGATGACCATTACTTTCCATTGATTTCCAAGGGACCCCATAGAGACCTGTTCAGATGAAAGCACCACTTGCATTTAGGTACCACTGTGCAGCAAGAGAGAAGGACTGCATTCTCATATTTTTTCACTTAGTGATTTGCTAACAGGGACTTGCAGATTTCTGTTCTGGACTACTGAGCTGAAGAATGCTCCTAAAAATCCTCCTGCTAATGGTGAACAGGAGCCTGGTACCCCAAGCTGTGGTGGCAGAAACGTGCCCATGGTGGCCCCGGTGACACCAGTAAGGCACAAGATGTCCCCACTCCTCTCAGAACTGGACTCAGGGTCCGGCAAGGGCCTGGGTGAAGATTTTCCTTTTAATGGAGTAGCCCTCCTGCTGATTCCCATTTTATGATTTTCAAATCCAGGAAGCCTGAGCTGGGTGTTCCCTCCAGTGGTGAGATGTTTCTGTCAGGGATCTAAAACAGATAACCTTCAGACCACAGATATGATTTGTTCCTTATCTTCCATCTTGCCATGGTTCACAGCTCATTAATGACCTAATTAAAATCTTGAGTTTTAAATACACCAATGATCTTAGGGAGTTCAGTGTACTGAGAGTACAGCAGGCATAAATTAGAAGGGACTCTTCAGTGTTGGACAGTAGGGTGGGGTTTTGGGTTTTTTTGCAATAGCTAGAATCTCTTTATATTTTTTGTAAATCTGCAGAGTAGAACTCTATGAATATGTGTTCATTCCTTTAAAAAAATATTCTCTAGGCTTTTTTGAGGATTGCATATGAGGATCAGGGAACAGGACAGTGAGAGGTTAACACTCTCATATACACTGAATACTCTCATATACATAATACTCTCATATACACACACACTCGTATAACACTCACAATACATTGTGATGTATTGTAATGTGATTATAAATATAAGGAGTTTTAGTTTATCAAAAATATATCTTGCAGGTAGTTTAAGTTCAGAGCCCTATGTGATGGTTGAGGTCACATCTTTATATGTGTACCAGTTCCTGGGAATTATTGCTGTTACTTTAAATGCTCTCTCTGATAAGAAAGCAGACCCAGATAAGAAAGATATCTCTTAGATAAGAAAGCATAAGAATAGCAGGCTATCCTTCTGTGAGAAATTAAAAAGTGATTATCTAGGTGAAGACAGTGATTGTGAACTTTAGGACTCATGATTCCCTTTACTTAGCTGTGGGGAAGGAATTCATAGAACAACTTGGTGGGAAGAGAATGCAAGAATTTCTTTCTGCCACCTCTGAAAACTCACAGTAGCTTAACAGCTACAGAGTTTCCAAGCTGCACTAACATATCTCTGTATGACCCATTGTGACTAGAAGGAATGTGTTGGAACACACAATTTCTGAGTGCTTCTGTTGCTGTATAGTCTATGTTAAAATTCAGGGTGTACTGTGTCACCTAAGGCATTGCACAAGCTGGGAAAATGTGGGAGATTTCCAGCTCTACCCTGCAACTAAAACCTTATGAAAACTGGTGGGTTTGAGTGGGTAAAATTATTTTTCCTTCCTTTTGTTGTGGAGTGGCATCTATATCAAGGAAGCTGTTAGCTTGAAATGAGTGAGGAAAAAGGAGTGGTGTGGTACAAAGCAATTTGTCCCCTTTGGTAAGTTTTTGAGGTTGCTCCATTTGTTGTTTTCCATGCTGCCAGTGTCAGACCAAGACATGAACTTGATATTTGTTCCTATACAGCAATGATATGCCCCAGAATAAATGCCATTTTCTCAAATGTAGAGTTAGAATTTAGTTGAGGAGATTTTTGGAACAGACCCTCAACCCTAAATTTAATTGGAGGTCAGTGCTGATACCCGTATGCTAAATATTAAACAATTAATTGCTTTCCTTCCCCTGAAGAATTTTGAGAAATATTAAATCTTCTATTTAAAGAATGTAAAGATAAAAGAGTTGCAAGAACATGAAAAGTAAAGACTAAAAAGCATTCCAAGTATATTGTAGTGTAGGTTTATGTGCACGTGTAATATTATATCTAATATATTACTGTATATCATACTGAATCAGCAACTGATTAATTGCTTTGGGATTTACAGGTCAAGATTTTTTTTGTAGTATGTTAGTTTTTGAGCCTTACTTACTGTTTTATCTCCCATGAGCAGGAACATATGATGTTGTGCCAAAACCTTAATTCTGTGAGATGTTCTTGTCTCACTGAATAACTTAAGAGGATTCATCTTTTCAAAAATACATTCTCCTACTAGCATATGTTTCAACCAGAAAGGGATGTTGTCAAGGCTTTATATCACTGCAAACAGCATAGCAGGTGTGCTTTTCCTGTATTGATGTAATTTAAATGTTGCAAACAACTCTCTCAACATTATGGAAACACTGCATGTAACTTCTAGACAAGGCAGATGATAATACTTCTGCCAATGAAAATGTATGAATAGGATGATCTAGTAATTTTCTTGCATGCTGATCATTTGTTTTTGCATATCAGGAGCTGTTGAACAGACACTATCCTTTGAATATTTATCAGTTCTCACTGCTTTGATAAAAGCCAGTGGGAAAACAAGTATTTGCTTGCTTCAGGGTGTGTGCAGCTTGCTTGGTTTACTGCTACAGTAGTTTCCATTAAACATTTCTAAAAACAAATCTGATGTTGGATTATTAGTTCTTTTTGCGCTACTGACACAAACCACTATTTACATGAATATCTCAGTAGCTGTGCTGTTGGCAATTGCAAACATCATGGGTACCCACAAGCTTCAATATCTGCACTGCAGAAGGTAAAATCTGTCATGGACTAAGGACCACCTAGGCTATGCAGGAGTTCATTGGTTTGATTGCATTTGAAATGTTGATTGAATGGGCTGTGGAAGGAACAATCACATTCACTTGTTGGAAAGAAAAGTCATTCCCCAGACAATTTTGTGTATATCCTAGAAAATGTTAGAAAATGTTAAAATTTTTTTTTTTTTTTTTTTTTTTTTTTTTTTTTTCTGTTAACAGAAGAATTGAAAGCTGGATGGTTTTTTTATAGCCTGTAGCAGTTTTATCACAAGAACAAAAGATAATCACTTTACTTTTATTGTGCACTTAACAGAAAAATGTTGTGACTTTGAAAACTACAGCTCTGTATTATGGTAGTAAACTGCTTAAGCATTCCATGGATTACTCAGGAATAGTGTGGGTGCTCACTGCAATTCCCCTTGTACTGTAAACCTAGGATACATACATGTATGAACATATGTATGCAAACATAACTAATTTTATTGCATTACATACTTCTATTTTGTATTACATTTCTTTTCATATTCGTATAATGGCATTTTAATAAATTTCATTTTCTATCTGAAAAAGTTGCCAAGTATTTTCAACAAAAATCTTAGTATTCAATCTTTAAAATAACCAGTGGTCTTGTGTCCATCCTGTATATGAGTTTGGAGGACCAGGATTGAAATGGCCTTACTCTAACAGCCATTCCATAGCAGTCTTATCACAGTAAATTGTTAGAAAACATGACTACAAAAAATGCTATTCAGGCCTGTTTAGGCATATTTTGCC